ACTCTTTCCTTCTTCCATCTAGTACTGGACAGGGTAACACCAGCAAAAAACCCAAAAACATTGGCTGTCACCAATCACCTCCTTATTTTCCATGTGCCTTAGCAAATTTTCGAGGAGGATCTGCTCCATGATCTTGCTGGGCTTGTAGTTCCCTGGGTCTTCCTTTTTTCCCTTTATCTGTAACGCTAGTTTAAATGAGGCAGTAGCATACAACCACCTGGTCTTCCCATCAAAATTTCAAATAATATGTGTAGCTAAATAATTCAAACAATCAGAGTAGCTAAAATGAACTGTTAATACTAGTAAAGGCATCAAGAACTTCAACAGTTTAAGCAGTAAGAGGCACAAAGTAAATAGGATGAAGATAAATGGTAAAGCTGAGTTGAAAATATACCTTAGGGTGGTTGCCTAAGAAAACACATGAAATCATTTTTCCACTAAGTTTCTTCATCTCAAAACTGTGATTCATTTTATTCTTTCTTCCCTAGTTTGTTGTGATAGTCAGCATAATAAATTTCAAACCTCTGACCTACGATGACTACACCTTCCCTCTCTGGGCAAATCGCATTGGCTGGGGAATAGCATTATCTTCAATGATACTCGTGCCTGCCTATATTATCTATAAATTTATGAATGTGCGTGGGACCTTTAAAGAAGTAAGTGGAATGCTAATAAAATGTCATGAAATGTTGCTATGAAATTAAATGGCTGGATCTAAGTTGGCAGTTTGTTTCTGTGTCTCCTGAAACTTATTGCTTATGAGTGACCTTTTGGATCCAACGACCAGATGGATTGTAATTTTGAGGCAGGATTACTGAATGCTGTTTGAGTTTCGAGATAGAAATCAGCTTTACAGACAGCACCATAATAATTCTGAAAAACTATTTTTAATGCAAGTAATTAATCCGTTGATGAGATTCTTTTTTTCCCCTACTAACAAAAAAGATACAAATTATGGTATCTTCTTATTCAGCTCTGAGGTATTCTGTCTTTAACAGCAGCCACTTCATATTTGATTTTCTCTGTCAAATATGTATCCTTATCCTCTGTTTACTGGAATTATTTCAACATTCTGCCAAGGCTAGAATTAATGCAGGTCTTTCTATTGTGTTCATCACTAATACCAAAATGCTTGAAGAAACTTAATATTCAGGATAGACCAAGGTACTGAAAATAGATCTGGAAATCAAGAAAATTCTGATATAGGCACTGCTTATGGTCTCATCTAGCCTGTTGCTTTTTAACTACTTCAGTAAAAGAACCAGGGTACTAGACTGCAGCATCTTGCACTACATAAAACCACTTCACGCATAATATGCCTGGTCTGTGCACTGAATATCACAGAAACTGAGGGAGAAACCATTTGTGACCATCTTATTCTAATGATTTACCTAACAGCAAGAAGTTTAATATTACAATCTTAATAGTGTTCTTTTAAATTCATGTATATGTTTATCTGTAATATCAATGTATTAATTCTATTTAAAAGAACCTGCTTCTATGGGAAAAAATGCATCCATATTTCCTTACAGTTCACCCCCCTGTATTTTTCTTTATTTAACAGTTCAAAATGGCACAGGATTAAGGTTCACTGATCATATTAATTTTACCATCACCATCACAGTAAATTATCTATAGTCTTAAAACCTCTAATGATGTTCAAAAGACTCCTCAACATTACACAGCACCAATTTTTGTCCCATTACATGTCATAATTTTATAACCTAATCTAGACTCTCTGACTTTTACCTAGTTCTAATGCTTTCCTTTCCTGCAGCTAGTTACACAGTGGTGCAGCAAGATACTAATGCTTTTAGGCTTTAAGCCACCGCCACATAGAGAATTAAGCACAAAATAAGATCTCACCCTTTAACTAGACAGAGTGCACCACCCTGCATAGACCCAAAAGGATAAATGCCTTGCTCCTGAAACATTACACTCACCTCATTTAATGTTCACCTCAGAAAGGCACCCCAAAATGGGAACTCCTCTTCACCTGCCCTGTTTTCATCAGCTCCAACATTTCAATGACGTGCACAATTTCTAGTTCTCATTTCCAGCAGTTCTAGAAGACCTTTGTTTTTTTTCCAGTCCTGGGGGTTTACAAACCCATTTTCTATTATCACCTAAGTGTTAAAGAATAATTTGTACTGGCCCAACAGGCTTTTGCCAGCTGCCACAAGTTTAATGATATTGGGATGCAGAAGCCATTGGCCAAATCCACATTTTCTCATTCATTGTATAGTTCAAATTCTGGTTTGTCTTTTACATCTCCTGTAGACAACAACTCTCCAGTTTCCCCATAAGAAATATAGCAAAAGGCTAGTAGATTACATCCGAATAACAACTATAAGATATGATGTCCTCAATTGTCACTTTTAAAAGTATGGGGAAAGGTATGGTCTTAGTCTAATGGGAACTCCCTAAGCTGGTTGAAAGTTCATGATGGAGCAAAATCTACATGTGATCCCAAATAGCACAGCATAGGGGTAGACACGGGAGAAGAGCTGGGAAATAGTACCTTCTTCCTTTCCCACTGGTACTGGTCAACCCCATTACAGCACTAACAGAAAAGCATGAATTTAGGGGATGTGAGGCCTGTGATACCAGCTTGTTCCTGATGTTCTTTTCCATATGCAATTGCTAAATCAGAGAATCATAGGATGGTTTGGGTTGGATGGGACCTCAAAGATCTTCTAGTTCAGACTCCCCTGCCATGGCAGGGACACCTCCCACTAGACCAGGTTGCTCAAGGCTCCATCCAACCTGGTCTTGAGCACTGCCAGGGATGGAGCATCCACAACTTCCCTAGGCAACCTGTTCCAGTGTCTCACCACCCTCAGGTTGAAGAACTTCTTTGGTGAAGAACTTCTTCCTTGTATGTAGAAAAATATTTGCACTTTGTATTTGCATAAACTTTCTACTGTTGCTCTTATATTAAAGGCTAATACCAAGGGGCTTATAATAAGCTTGTTCTCTCACTGACTAAGTTAAAGGCATATGATGCAGTGATATTAAAGATTTAAGTCACCATTTTAAATAAAGTTCACGCTACTTCTCCATTATAGATTTGGGATTACAGACATAATCCCACTTCATATGGCTGACTTTTTCCTCTTCTTCCCACCTGGTTTAGAGACTTGCTTACTGCATCACACCTGAAAATGAGCACCAACTTGTGACCCAAGGAAATGTCAGGCAGTTTAAGGTTTGTACTCCTTTTGTACTCCTGATACCAACCCTTTTCTGTCTTTAGTAACAACTACAGGTTTGCACCAATCTCCTCATAGTGGATACCTTTGCAGGTCTGTGGTTCTTTATTTCTGCCAGTATGATAAGAAGCAGGAGGCTCAGTATCATAGACACCAACTCTGTTGGAAGGCTTTTGGCACCTTCCTTCTTTGACTAAGCGGAACCCACAATTTTACAGATCACCTGAATCCAGTATTTTAGGTTGTATCTGAATACAGTGAGATCTCACCAAGAGACAAAGGTATTTCCAAACTATCATGTGCATTTGAACAGGTCATAGCTTCAGCCTCAGTTATTGCACAGCAATCTGGAGTCATGTCTCCTCTGCTCCAATTACGTACCACAACACATGGTAAGCAGCAAAACAAATATCCAGTATCAGAGCTTTGACATAATGGCTGTGATGAAATAGTGTGCTAGGTTATGTGGGACAGGCTTTCCCCACAGGCCTACAGTTCATTGAAAACACTACTGGAGACTTCTTAAGCAGCCACGAACAATATGCTACAGGTTTCCAAATACTGCTTTCCTTTTAGCAAATAAAATGAGCTTATTGAAATAAAGTCCTTTTTATAGAAGATGAAAAGGATGCAAATATGGAGCTTGTTACACTTATCAAAATTCATGCTGGACCACTTTCTGTCTTCAAAGTGGAAAGCAACTAGAATTATGCACACCACCTCAAAACATGACCCAGATTTTATAGTGGTGGTTTGTATGTTGGTATTGAAAAAATAAATTTGTCTTTTGCTTCCTCTGAAAAATACTGTTTGAAGTATAATTTTGAATTTTAAAGGAAATAATCCAAGTGTAGATTCATGGGATGCAGAATGGAAGAAGGAAGAAAAGACTTCCTGTTTCATGACCATAATTTATTTGATGTGGCCAAGAATATGTAGTAGCACAGCACTTCTTCCTGCCTTCTCTTTCCCCTATTCCTGCCCTCAGTTGTCTGAGGATTTAATGTTCCAGCTGTAAGTAATAACTTGGTTTTTCCAGAGGCAGATATTCCTGTGTGAATGAACAGCCATTCCTACACAGTACTGGTCCTCTGAACCCAAATCTATACTGGCAAAAAGGAAGTAAATTAATTTCACGTAAATTAGAAAAGACTGCACTCAGAACTAAATTCCTAATGATACCTCAAACCATGTTGCTGTCTTCAATGAACAGCTGGGAATAGCTTTGTTATTGCTAAAGCATAGTTAGTGCTTTGTTCATGATGCTTAAGTTTGTAAAAAAACCACCTACTACCGTAACCAAACAAGCACAAAAATTTTCTTCTCTTATATGTTTGGCAGTTCTGAATTTTAAAACTGAACTGAGAGCTGACTAAATAGCTTTTATATTCAGCACGTTTCTCACTGCAAACTGGAATGCACAGAAATTTAGCTATAAACTATCTGTTATTTTGAAACCTCTTTGTAACTCTATATTTGTCAACCAATGTATTTAAAACATCTCTCACTATCATTATTTGAATCAATTGTGTTATTAAACAACTACTTCTGTTCCCTTACAGCTTCAACACTGGCTAACAATATGACAACCAACAGGCTGAAGAAAAAGCCAATATGTTAAGCGAAACTGAGAATACAGAAGTGTCAAATTCAAAGCTCCCTCGATTATGCTTGGACCAGGCTGGCTCAGAGCTTATCCACTGACTCTTTGAGGGAAGACATCTGCTCTCTGTTCTCAATGCCTCCCTTCTATTACTTGCCTTCAAACGATCTTTAAAGACTCCATTTAATTTTTCTTACATCCTTTGGTGCCATGAAATCCCTACATGACCAAAACTTGTGAGTTTTGCTATTGGCAGAAGTGGAGGAGGGGGGAACAGAGAAAAAAGCAATCAACCTAAGTTAAATGCTCTTTTATTGTGAAGAAGTGAATTAAACTTTTCTGCAGTAATAATTACTTCAGATATTCATGCCACGACGTATTTTAAACCAACAACACCTGAATGTTCTTAAATCTAAGGGAAGAGTACGTCTCAGTTATGAGGAAAGAGCAATTTTAACTATGTACTAATGTCATTAGCTTTCTTGCCATACTATCCTTTGGGATATGAGTTTGCATCCTTCTGAAGTGAAGACTCAGTGCTTCATTTTCAGTGGTTTGTTATTAGTTTCTTCTCTTGGTGAAGAAGGTTGTCTTTGCAGTATATGTCCATGCCATTTTCTGTCCAGTTTAAATACACAAGCTGAAAAGCAGCAGGAACAGAATTCCCATTATAGCTTCTAAGTACAGAATACAGTTTAATAGTACACTGTACTCAATGAAAAATGTATTCCCTTATATCAACAGTTGAAATGGCTTTATCATATAATCCATACTCCAAGGAGTTTTTTCCACTAAGTATGAGTTACATGCAAATGGATTTTCATATTTGTTATATTTTGTTCCAAATAAAGAATGTAAAATACATAGGAAGAGAGAATAATTTTCAGAATTACATAATCTACCCAGAGGCACCAAAATACCGAACTTCGGCTGTATTCTCCTGCTGTGAATGTACCATTATTATAATTTAACCTGGATTCACCTACCAAAACATAACAAGATTATGTTGAATAATTTATAAAAATATTTTAGGCATACTCAGCTCTCTAAGCCTATTCCGGCTCTTCTCTCTGGTAGTATTATGCAAGGTAGAAGATACAGAACAAACTATGAATCTGGGTGCTGTTCTTATTCTGAGGCACTTATCACTGTAGTATCTTCCCAGTGATCACTAGATTCGGTAGCTTTGAGTTATTTCTTGTACTTATTCATCACTAGATCTACAGTAATTTCAGAGGCAGTTGCTTTCTTGGCAGAATCCAGCCCAGAGCTTACCTCTGGACCTTATCTCTGAATTTTTTTTGCCTATATACATTCAATTCAGATCGTCTTTTAAACGTATGTAGTGCTTCCTCTTTTTAAAAACACCATTTAAAAGGATGGGGCTTTTTTATTTATAAAAGAATTTTTGTTAAGGTTGGGGTTTTTTTTTCCCTTTTTAAAATAGCCCAGTTTAAAATTGCCAAGTGATTTTGGCCTTTTTCATTTAATATTGATTTCTGTTCAAAATAATGGAAGGGAAATTTCTCCCCTTATTTTCCTACAACATAATCAATACTTTGGAACATATTGAATATTGTCCTTTTCTTAAAGAGTCTCAGTGACAAATAGTAGTTTTATTTAAACAGAGGTTTTAAACCCAAAAGATACTTTCTTCTAATTATAAAGGAAGTCATATTTTCTGGCCCAGCTAATGGCCAATAGCTGTTTAAGCCCTGTTATTAAATATATTTCAATAATAAAAGAATTTCAAATGTTGCAGTTCTACTTATGTAATTACACAAGAGGCCAAACAGTGAAAATATGTTGAGGGCTTCAAAAAAGCCAACCCACCAACTTCATACATTATCTCATTTTTATTGTTTGTTAAACTATATGAGAATCTTTTCATTGTTATAAAGCTTACTTTTCAATAATACAGCTGCTTCAGTCACTGCCTTGGCATGGCTCAAAAGCCTCTTAGCACAGATATACATAGCAAGTTTTAAAACTCTTGGGGGCTCTTTAACATGGATCTTTAATAGCTTGTCACATTGTTTGGTCCGCTCATAATTGAAAATGCTGACAACCTGCATCAATGTTCACTTGTGACACACCCCATCACCACCATCCATATAGCAAAAGCCATGCAGGAAAAGTTACATTTCATCACCACTCTGCTCTGAAATAGGAGCAAAGCTATCTTAACAGGGGAGTGAAATCAGCTTTACTCAGCATGTTAGGGTATGGCTGTATTTTTAATACCAACTCCCAAGGCAATTACCTACTACGTGATTTTTACTTCTATTACTGTATAACTTCTTAGATTTAGTGTAGTATTTATAGCTCAGGACTCCATTGCACCATTGCCACTTGTTCTGAGATTTCATAGACAAAAACTTGTAATATATATGGAAGACAATAGGCAAATCAGCGAAAGCAGGAATCATACTACCAGGAACAGCCCAAATGAAAAAGAAAGATAATACACATTGCATGACAGCTAGACTTTAAGTTCAAGATGTTGCCCAAAGGAAGTCTTCCCAAAAATAATACGATTTCCATCTCAGAGATGAACAATGTCTTCAATTCCCCACAGAATAAGATGCTCAACTACCTCATGCATCTTGGATGATAAAACATGCCATTAGACACAAATTATCCATTCAAATGACAAATACTTTTGTGAAGACCATGTTATATTCTTTTCCTCCACTCAGTGACCTGATACAGACAGTCCAATAAGAAGCCTCAGCTCTGGCACCCAGCTCCTCTTAGGCACCTGCTTTGAGCTCCCAAATACATTTTCAACATGGAAATCAAGTGCTACTAAGATACTCATCTCCCTTCAGTTCAACCACTTGTAGTTTGTGAAAAATAAAAATTAAAAAAAAAATAATCACCCAATCTGGTCCTTATCACCCATGTGGTTTAACTGCAAGTCTTCCTTTAACTCAGTTTTGAACTTTGAGCCAAGCAGCTCACTCCTGCCCTCAGCTATACCTATTGCGGGAACAGACCCATTCTGGGGAATGGTGCTCTCCCAGATATCCCTGTGGGATGGCAAGTATATGCTGATGGAGCAGGCAGCCCATTTCCAAAATAAGAAAAATTCTGATAGAAGTTTATTCAAGATGAAGTGTCATGTGCTTGCTAATTATGTTGGCTGTTTTGGGAACAAGCCAGTAGGAAGAATTCAGTGAAGCAATTAAATAGCTCATTGGACAGTTCTAGAAAATATTTTATTAAAAGCCTTTTTTTTAATCTGATACAGGAAGCAGCTGTCATACATTAGCATCTCTCTTCCGACCTTCCTTCCTGCCAGTGAAAAAGACCTGCCTGTGAGCCATATTGCTTCAACAAGCCACAGAAAGTTAGTTAGCACCAAGGAAATAAATCCTCCATTTCCTTTGTACCCCTCCTGCCATCGTTCAGCGGGATAATTCTTCATATACTTGGTACTGTTCTAAAGCTACATTACTAAAACTCCAAAGGTTTAGATTTCTGGTGGAAACAGTGGGTCTTTCATGGGCAGTAGTCCAAAAAGCACTAGTGCTATTTTGTGTTCAGCCCCTGTTTGAACCATATCTTTTTTGTCAGTCCTTGTGTTCTGTCATGTCCCAAGGCATATACCCTGGCAACACTTGAAAGACATCTTACCATAGTGAGGGATTTTACAGGAAATCCAGGAACAAACATAGTATTTTAAATATAGAATGTAGGAGAAGTACTTGGCTGTTACTATTGTACATGTTCCCTAACTGCACGTGCAATGTATGTTGTATGTAATTTTCCCAGAGGAAATTTCCTATAATTGGTCATTTCTTCTCAGCAAAATACCATTTAAATGCTATTATTTAAAAAGGTCAAGCCCAAACATTTTGTATATACAGTCCCTTCTTATGCTATTGTTTTGACATGAATTAAGTTTATTTTTTACTGTTAGGTTGTAGGAGGACACGTAAAAAGCTCTTTTGTTTTTAATGTCTCTTTTACAGTTCTTCCGATTCATACAGCATTAATTAGTGGTTACTTGCTTCTATTGGACTAGATAGCTTTCATTCACATCCTGGACTGATTCACTAAGTTTCATGAGATATTGGCAAACATCTAAGAATTCCTCTCCTAAGAACCAAATTTAAACCATAGATCAACAATTTCAAAAGAGATGAGGTTTACGAATGTTTTATTTGCAGTGCCCAGTTAAAGTATTTTTAAATGGGCCTGAATGACTCAGACATAAGATAGTTACCACAGCTCAACAAATGACAGTATATAATCTACCTGCACAAATTGTATGTGTGCTCTGAGCCTCTTGGAGGAGTAAAATAGGACATCTTTGTTCTAATACACTTTGTTTTCTCAGGGCTAAGGATATTTATGGTCCTCATATCAGCTCATGTGCAAGAACTCATTCTCCTTAATTTAAAGGCCAACATGACGTTTCAGATGAGACCCTTGAACAAGTTTGGAGTCTTTTGGCTATAGTACAAGGAGACAGATCTTCTGGAAACACTTCCAGAAAGTCTCCTCCAAAGGAAAACACTTTGTTAATCTCCTTCCTCCAACTCATTCATAACCATGTTCCTGTGACTGTGGGCTGCCCTAGCTAATCAGTGGAAAGTTAAGCTGTTAGAACATGAAGCTAAACAGAAGGCAGAAACAGGACCTTGAAGTGACCTCATTAGGTTCAAATCTATATAAAAGCTGAAAGTAACATACTATTTTAAGCAAAGCTGGCCAGAAATCACCATACAGGACTGAATCTGTGAGCTGCTTGGACACCTCAATTATTACAGATCTTTATTTACTAAACTAATGGTAGCTGGTACATGAGAAAGCCAGCCACATTCAGGCTTCCTTTAGGAAAAAGGTACACTAGTACAGGATACTGCAAAACAGTCTGAAAAAAAAAAAAAATTAGAACTTAATTTACAGAAGTTTAAGCCCTCAGTTAAATCCTGTTACATCTGTGACCTTGCATCACTGAATTTCAGTGAGGATCGTATACAGGGAATAGTTGTATCTGAAACAACCATGTTTGAGTGTTTCTGTGCTGTGGAAATAGTTTTTTGTTCAGCCATCTCAGTCTGTTGTAACCCAGACTTCAATTGGAACATTTCACCAAGCACTTGCCCCCCTCTAATCCATATTCTCAAAGGACAGTTTTTGCTGACAGTCAGCCAAGACCACCACTCAGACTGACTGAGCAGGCGTGTGTGTTCCTTAGCTGTGATTAGATGTACATTACTTCATTTTGCCTGCTTAAGCTCAGGTGGAGAATGACAAGACTTGTAAGCTATGCCACACAGAGAAACTTTTCCTAGGCCAAAAAGTTTCAGATTTTACACATTGTTCCTAATAAAAAATAAACAACAAGATCCTCAGCTGGTCATTAATTTGTACAGTGGTACTGTTCACTGCCTGAGACTGAATTTATATGAATTTACACACATCAAACTACTATAGAGAACTAGATGGCCAATAAAGACATTTCAGCCAGCAGAAAAACATAAGAGTGTAATATAGCTGCTTTTAAGTACAGAATTTGATCGGTTTTCCTTCACCGTTTAAAAACAGAATATGCTTAGACAAATTGCAATCACTTTATGACCAACCTAACAGAAGCATACAGAGAACCAGAAGACAGCCAGAAGACTGTAAATGACACAGATTCAGTGAGACTGTCCATAGAACAACATGTAGGTGTCCAGATGCAAGTGGCTGGGGGACGGAGCTGAGAAGGGGAGAAACTGAGAAGTTTAAGTCTCAGTCCAGCAGCAC